ATAGCCTGCCAGCGCAACTACTATACAGAGTTGTTTACAGCTGAGTTATTATTATATACTATCCACTGAATAGCATTCATCGAATAGACTAAGGGATATCGTTCGGAAAGCCAGTTTAGGTTTATTTGTTCCTTCTTGTATTTGTATTGTACTGTAGAGCAATACCCTACGAATTTGCAAATCGGTTTATTTATCTATATTTTCATTTGGTTGAAAATTTGCAGAAACGGTCCTTATGACATCTCAACAAATAAAAAAAATACGAAAAATCTTTTTTTGAGAAAAAAAAAAGTTTTTAAGACTTCATTTGAAATCAAAAAAAAAAGGTTGGGTAAATTTTTTTAGAGCGCATATTTTTTTTCAAATAGTCTTATCTATTACCTGCAATATTGCCGAGGACATCAAACCGATCGGACAAACAGTTTTCGTGTAAAAATTTTCTGAAGATAGGCTTGATATTTTTCTACCTGCCCTTTTCAAAAATAAGGCTGGATTCAAAATGGCGATATGAAGATGCAAAATGCCATTGTCGGTAATAAGGAACGTTTCCGAAAATTTTCAACCGAATAAAAAAAAAACAAAAATAAAACGATTTGCGTATTTGCAGGGAATTGCTCAGATGTTACTTTTTCCTAGAAGATGCATATCAATTATGATTAATAAATTTGTTCGTCGTAACGAACCAGAAGAAAAGAAAGTAGTGGTAATATGACTCCATACAATTAATGAGAATTCCTTTTATTTTCTTCTGTTATCTTACGAAAAACGAGGTGTTCTATCATAATTTGATATGTATCTGATTGAAAAACGCATCAGCTTTCAAACAGCGTGCTTATTTTTTCAATTGGTGGGAGGTAAGTTTATGAGAAACTCATTTCTTCGAAAAAAAAATCCAATACGGCGGCAAAGAATTCTAATAGACACACCAAATTGAAATCACTGAAAATCAGCAAAATTTTGCTGATTTTAGACTTGATGAAAGATCAGCAAACGTTCCAGCAAAATAATGCTGCTGAATTTTTCAGCAATTCCAACTTCTGTCAAATGACAATCTTGTACTGAAAATCAGCAATATTTCTTTACTGATCTTTCAGCAATTCAAAATTCTGAGCATTTTGCAGATTAAACTATTAAATTCAGTAAATCGAATTTGTTTGAGCTTCCAGCTTCTGTAAAACATCGTTGATACAAATATAAGAATAATAAAGATAAAATCGCCAGACTCTTTTCCAAGTATCATTTATTAAATATAGCCAGTGTCCAAGCCAGTGTCATTACCCACACGCTAACTTCTGCTTACTCACCAGGTGAGTCGATCGTACTCACTTTCGTCCGATGTCTCGAGTTGTCAAAAATTGAGTAAACGAGAAATGTCAAACTGAGTGAAAACCAAACAGTCAGCAAAATCCTGACCTTGGAAAAAATTGCCAGTCATGTCGGAGGAAACCTCATAGGAAATGTTACTCGAAACCGGCTGAAATGCCTTCAGGTAAGTGCGAATTGCTTAGGGAAACAGTGTTGAACCATTTTCTGCTCCGGTAGAATGAATCCGAAGCAGGTAATTTCCATTTCCTTGAATAAAAATCAAAACAAAAACCCTCCCCGCAACTGAAAATACCACCGAGTGGATTTGACTCAGTCTTCGTGAGAACGTCGTTTACTCAAAAGTGAGTCAACATAAGGCTACTCAATTTTGAGTAGCCCTACTTGCCACTGAGATGAGTACATTCGACTCAATTTTAAGTTGACCAGAATAAGCGTGTACATAATTTTATTTATTTGTAGTTATTTTTACCTCTTCCGAATGCAAAAATACGAACAGTTTGACAGCTTTTTAACTTTGAGTTAGTTTATGTTAGCTGATTTTTTCGGTAAAAATAACGTTTGCTGTTTTTCAGTAAAGCATTGGATCATGATCCAGTAATTCGTTTTATTGATAATGAAAACTTAAATTTGGTGTGTATATTTGGCGGTTGCAGGACAAATGATCGAAAGACAAAACGACGAATGACAAAAGATCGATAGGAGAAAAGGTCGAAAAAACAAAAGGTCGAATGGAGAAAAGGTCTAATGCTGAGAAGGGAGACCAAAGGTCGACTGGACAAAAGGTCGACTGGACAAAAGGTCGACTGGAAAAAGGTCGACTGGACAAAAGGTCGACTGGACAAAAGGTCGACTGGACAAAAGGTCGAATGGTTCAAAGAGGGGCAATAGGTCCAATGGCCCAAAGAGAGACAAAATATTCAATGGCCCGAAGAGGGATAAAGGTCAAATGTCCCAAAGAGATACACAAGTTCAAATGACAGAAAGAGGGAAAACAATATAATCACACAGATATAATAAAAAGACAATTATTTGTCACACAAACAAGCACTGTTCTTTCAAACAATAAATTCAGTTCCTTTTTATCTCTGCTTGTTCTTTTTTATAAATTTTGATTATATCGTTCAGAATAATATACCTATCGTTCAGAATAATATACCTATTCATCCTTTTTATATTATTTGGCGTTTTGGCCCATTCAACCTTATGTTCCCCATCTCATCATTTTGTCCATTCGACCATTTTTCGTGCGACGCTTTGTCCATTCAACATTTTTAATTTATTTTGAATCGTTCGACCTTTTGTCCCTCTTTGAATCCCACTATTCACTTCACTTCCCTTGTTCCACTATTCACATTTTGTCCATTCGACTTTTTGTCCTTTCGACCTTTTGTCTTTGGACCATTTGTCATACAATATTTGACATATGAGCAGTTCCAAGAAAAAAAAAGCGAAAAAACACATTTTTTTTGACGAGGACTACGTCTTTACCGAAAATGGATCATGAAACAAAATTATGAAAGATTTTGAACATTAATAACTCAGCTGCAGCTGGATCAATTTCAATAATTTTATCACCAATCGATCAGAAATATTTCTACGCAATGCTTCCAACTGATGATTTTCAACAAGAAACTATTGAAAATTGGTAATGTCAAGCATTATCTAAAGTACAAATAAAAAGTGATCATTTTTTCACTGTTTTCATGAAATAAACGTTCTTCCCAAACGCAGTCGTCATAATCGAGTACCACTTGGTTGCACATCATTCTGCTTTAACCTGAATGATATAAAACAACGCTGCCGTCTAGCCTCAATTCATTTTCGCTTCGGACGCCGTGGTGAGCAGACAGCAGAAGCAGCAAAAGCAGTCGTCTGGCTCGCCGTGGCGGTGTCAAACGTATCTCCGGTCTGATCTACGAGAAAACACGAGGTGTGCTGAACGTGTTCTTGGAAAATGTGATCCGTGATGCTGTCACCTATACTGAACACGCCAAGCGTAAGTGGCCATGGATGTGTCGTCTACGCTTTGAAGCGACAGACGCACTCTGTACGGTTTCGGAGGTTAAATCATCGCCAACTGTGGCAACAAAACGGCCTTTTTCTGGGCCAACAAACTTATCACAGTAAAAAGTTAGAAAGAATTTATCTGCCTGTTGGTCCATATTCAGAACCACATGCCCCCAACGACCACACAAAATGCTCTCCAGAGTTGTAATCTTGTAACCAAACTTGGAAGCAAGGGGGGAAAGTTATTTTGATCGATTCTTTTCATCAACTTTCTCTTTGAAAAAAAAATACTACAAATTTGATACGCTTACAAATCAAAAACGGAAAGAGTTAAGATAATAGATGATCCATCAATTAAAAGAACTAATTTTTTTTCACATTTACTCCGTGCCCTAGAGGTCCTACGTCAAGCTCCCGTTTGTGCCCCTAGACACAGACCCTTCTACTTTTTTTTGGATCAGCCGATTTGTATGAAACTTTGCGTAATTGTTTGTTAGCCTTCCTAATGCATTCCGGGTTCCGGGTATCCATATATGGTTATTCCACCTATTGGTCCATGACATGATATATATTTACATCTGAATGTAAAAAATGGGCCATTTGACGGCACCAGTACATTAGGTTAAGGAAGTGTCCTTTTCGGGACCCCTTGAAACCGGTTCCGGGTATCCGGATGTAACCAGATCCACCTGTTGGTCCATGGCATGTCTATTTACTTCTGGATGAAAAATCATAAATTTTGAGCCATCGAAAGGTACCAGTACATGAGGTTAAGGATCCTATTTGGGACCCAACCGGAATTCTGCCTGAGTACCAAAAGTGGCCTGATCCACTTATTTGCTTGTGGCATAATGTCTGTTTACTTCTGGTTGCAAATGATAAATAACAAAGCGGCTCTTTTATCGCTTGTCATTTTGCCATTTCGAGATAATTTTGATTCATTGATTGTGAGCAATTATTTGCCTACCGAAAGCTTCCTTAATTAGCTCGATTAATTTTTTTTATAATGATTGAGAAACCAGTTCTTATATATTTTCCAAAAAAAAAATTGAATACAACCGGAAGTGCAAGTCTGAAATTTCTTAGCCCAGAATCTTGTATAATATTATTAATTTTATCAAGCAAAAGTCATGAATGTTAAGTGTTTCTCAATGACCGATATTTTGAAACAATAAATGTAATGTTTTTTTTTTTTTTTTAATGTTCTATTGTTAATATTATACGTAAATATTCTCATGATGTTCTTTCTTCTTACTTTACACGTCACATTTAAGGTTATTTTTGTTTTCGTCTATTTTTTCTGCAGTCAATAATATAAATCATTGAGAGAAGAAACAACTTTTAACGGGGGTTGATACATCTCCTATTATGGTGGTCGTCAGTCAAATGATTGTTAAGCGAGAACTTAAACTTGTATCATCCATAACTCGAATTGAAATCATACTTCTGCATTCCCTCCTGCATGTGAATCACCAAGAAAACAGTTCCACTTGCAGTCTTTGATAAACCAATATACATTACCACAACCAATTCCAATTTCGAGTGACAGTAAACAATGAATTCACTGGAACCAAAAGCCTCAATCGAATTAGAATCCACTTTATCCATCAATTATGCAGTGCAAACTCCAATTCACCCCCCAGCGCTTCGATCCGATTTAAACTCACCCTAAACTTCCCCTTCTTCCGCTGCTTGGAAGCTCCCGCGACTGCTCCCAAACCGGCATCTATCGTGCTCGAATGCCCGTCCGGTGGTTGTCGGCCCGGCTGTTGCTGCTGCTGCTGCTGCATCGAATGTATCGAATGTCGTTTACTCAATTTATTCAGATTCATTTTTTCTTCTCTCTTCCGAAATTCAATCACTCACTATTGAAATACGTCGACTGGGACCATTCAACATGGCACTACGATCGACGTCATGCTGTCGTCGTCGCCGTCTTCACCGTCATTCAATCACACATTTTTCCATTTTTCCCTCGCAATTGATTGGTAGTACTAATTCTATTCACTCTTTCACTGAATCACTGGAACTAGCAGCTCTACCAATGCTGAACCTGTCGAAGCATACACACTGACTGACTGAATTGGTTTGATCAGATACACATCCTCTGGTCGTGGAGCACACGTGCACACACACAGACACACACACACATATCAACTCAAGCCCACCCCCGTCTCGACGATAGGGAATCACTAGGGAACACGATAAGCAGCATCCGGTTGAGTCTTCATGTTTCCGGCGATCGTGCAGATGGGATTTTTCTTCCTTTTCGGTGCTCCTATTTCAGCCGAATCCCGGCCTAGTCACTATCACCCCCACCACGCCACTGACTGGCGGCACTGTTAGTTTGCCTGTTTCGGGTTCCCATTCCTATCATCATCCCGACGACGACGACGGCAAAGACACCGTACATCTTTCGAAGAAAGGACCACGAGAGACAAGGTCGACCGTCGCTATGCCCCTTTGGGTCGTCCCGGGTTCTGGAAGAAGAAAAACAGAACGAAGCGAAAGGGTATGGAATTAGATAAATATTTCTTATATCACGCAGAGCAGGATCAAGGGGGATAGATTTCTTGCATCCTAACGAGAATAATCAGATCTTTCACCTATCGCTGAATTGTCTGCTTCGTTTGATATCGGATAAGCTTGAAACATTTGCATCCCCGGAGACGCGAAGCCCGGTCTTATGTTTTAATTTCTTTTCAACTTCCACCAAAGTGGGTAGCGCTCGAATTCCGAAATCGTTTAGAAATTTGGTTCGCTTTTTGTTCAAACAAATACCAAACGGCGACAGACGCACACAGTCTGAATTTCCCTTGGCAAAACGCAAGAACAACATTCTTCTGCAAGCGAAAGGAAAATGTTGTAATAACATCCTTTGCCAGCCCCATCGACAGCTTGTGAGTTAGAACATGTCCACGAGGTTCAGTTCGCTGAAACGGATCGTTGCTGCATGTGGGGGTGGATTGTTGGCGGTGCACCAGGGTTTCAAATGTGGGTGGTTCCCCATATTGGAACCGTTCTGACGGATTTGACTCACTGGAACTTGACGCCGACTCCCAACTTAGTGTTATTTGAGAGCACTTCAACAGTTATTTATTGACGGCTTTCTAAGCCTGTATTATGGCAAGTACAATCATACTCTATCAGGGAAGACGAAAAATATTCCATCCTGAAAAATTCCTATACCGGGACGGCAATGGAGCGCAACCGCCTTTACCGACTGAGCTAAAGGGAGGTCCCAAACTGTGTTCTGCCTAAATAACTCAAAGCAGCCTTAGCTCGATGAAAATGCAGGCTACTTCAGTTACTTTTCCCACATTAATTTCTTAAGGCTATGTGCCAATGGATCACATCATGTGAGTAGTTTAACGTTTCCTACCACTCGAACTTAACCATGGACCAATATTATGAAGTTTTATCTTATGGGGTTATATTTATACGAGGCCCAACAAATCAAAAATCTATTGCCTCATTTCCTTTTTTTAACTCTTTATTTGTTCCAAATTTAAAATAAATTACATTTCATTTTAACCTAGGTATTCCAGTTACTACAGTAGCTTACCAGCCTTAATTGTTATGACATATGCCTTGGAAATTCAGTATTTTAAACAGGTTTTTTAAACCTGCATGTCAGTATAACAATTGAAATTTTAAAACTAAAAAATAAAACTAAATCTTATCTAAGTATAAAGAGAATTAATCGTTTCAATTGAGGATAGCAACGATTTTTGACTGAAATTATTAATTATTTTGTTGGACATTTGTTCTAAAGTCTCAACATTCTAAATTCTATGTACTTCGGTAGTACTGTACCAGGGAGGCAACTTCAAAATCATTTTCAGAACTTTGTTCTGAATCATTTGAAGTGCTTTTTATCTGGTAGTGCAACAACAAGACCATATTGGCACAGCGTAAAGCATGGCCGGTCTAAAAACTTGTTTAAATATTAGAAGTTTATTCGTTAGGCAATGTTTGGATTTCCTGTTTATAAGAGGATACAAACATTTTATATATTTGTTACATTTGGCTTGAATGCCCTCAATGTGATCTTTAAAAGTTAATTTTTGGTCAAGTATTAATCCAAGATATTTCACTTGGTTTGACCAGGAAATTGGAACTCCGTTCATAGTGACTATGTGACTACTACTAGGTTTCAAAAAGGAAGCTCTAGGCTTATGTGGAAATATTATAAGTTGAGTTTTGGAAGCGTTGGGAGAAATCTTCCATTTTTGTAAATAAGAAGAGAATATGTCAAAACTTTTCTGCAGTCTGCTGCAAATAACACGAAGACTTCTTCCTTTAGCGGAAATGGTGTCATCAGCGAACAAAGATTTGTGGCAACCCTGAGGCAAATCAGGGAGGTCCGAAGTGAAAATGTTGTACAATATAGGCCCAAGAATGCTACCCTGAGAAACTCCTGCTCTAACAGGTAGTTGATTAGATTTGGAATTTTGATAATTTACGTGCAGAGTTGTGTCAGTTAAATAATTTTGAAATAATTTGTGGAAAATCAAACTTTTTCAATTTAGCAATCAAACCTTCATGCCAAACACTGTCGAATGCTTTTTCTATGTCTAGAAGAGCAACTCCAGTTGAGTAGCCTTCAGATTTGTTTGAACGAATTAAATTGGTAACTCTTAAGAGTTGATGAATAGTTGAATGCCCATGGCGAAAACCAAACTGCTCATCTGCAAAAATTGAGTTCGTATTGATGTGAAGCATCATTCAACTTAAAATTATCTTTTCAAAAAGTTTACTTATTGAAGAAATCAAACTTATTGGCCGGTAGCTAGAAGCTTCAGCTGGATTTTTATCCAGCTTCAAAATTGGAACAACATTTACATTTTTCCATTTATCAGGAAAGTATTCCAAATGGAAACATCTGTTAAAAAATGTAACCAAGAAAGGCAAGGTACTCTCTGGGACTTTTTTTGATGAGGATATAGAAAATTCCATCAGCACCTGTAGCTTTCATATTTTGAAACATTTTAGTAATAGATCTTACTTCGTCCAAATTAGTCCCCCAGGAATCATCAAAAATATGTTCCCGAGAGAAAATATTCAGATAATCCCGATCAACCTGATTCTCAATAGGACTAGTAAGACCCAAACTGAAATTATGGGAACTCTCGAATTGGTTAGCAAGTTTCTGAGCTTTTTTCCAAATTTGTGATCAAAATTTTACCACCTTCTTTAAGCGCTGAAATAGGTATTTGAAGTTTTTTCAAAAAATTTTGTGAGTTTCCAAAAGAGTTTGGAACTCGGGTCTAATTTAGAAACATTATTTTCAAAAGTTTTGTTCCTTAGGGCAGAGAATCGCTTTTTAATTTATTTTTGCAAATCCCGCCAGATAACTTTCATGGCAGGATCGCGTGTTATTTGATATTGTCTCCTACGGACATATTTCAGACGGATCAAGAGCTGAAGATCGTCGTCTATTATAATTGAATCGAATTTAACCTCACATTTTGGTACTGAGGCAGCTCTTGCTTCGACTATAGAAGTAGTCAGAGATTCAAGAGCATAATTAATTTCATCTTTGGTTTGCAAAGGAATGTTTGGATCGATCAGCTCTATGGTAATTGAAAGTAGAGCTGTTGGGATTAGAAATTATTTCTTAGGATATTTCAAAAGTTACGGGAAGGTGATCAAAACCGAAGTTAGCATGGGTAACCAATTGGCTACAAAGTTGACATGAATCAGTTAAGACCAAATCAATAGTTGAGGGATTTCTTGCAGAAGAAAAGCATGTTGGGCTGTTTGGATATTGAATAGTGTAATAACCTGCAGAACAATCATCAAACAGAAAAACTACCATTGGAATTGCTTTGAGCATTATTTCATGAGTGGTGTTTTGCATTAAAATCACCAATAATGAAGAATTTTGACCAATGCCGGGTAAGTTTCTGAAGGTCACCCTTGAGAAAATTCTTTTGCTGGCCTACGGATTGGAATGGCAAATAGGCAGCTATAAACGTAAGTTGTCCAAATTTTGTTTCAACAGAAACTCCCAAAGTTTCAAAAACTTTGGTTTCAAATGAAGAAAGAATTTTATGTTTGATTCGTCTATGAACAATGATGGCAACGCCACCACAGGCTCCATCACGACGATCATTTCTATAAATGAAATAATGTGCGTCACTTTTAACCTTATGGTCAGGTTTAAGGAACGTTTAAGTTATAACGGCATTATTCACGTTGTTTAAGAGATCGAGCATTCCAATTTATAATATTTCATGATTTAAAATCCATTGCTGAATTTCAAAGTCATGACAATATTGTTGGAAAATTTTACTCCAGTTTCAATAGCATCAAACATGGAGTTAGATTTAAGCATATCAGTAATCATGCCAATTAATTTTTTTAGTGTTCATTAATTTATTTGATAAAGCTTAACTGAATTAACTTTACAGAGCCTAGGATTCTTGTTCACTATACAATAAAGGGTGTCCACGATGAAATTGCCACACTATGAAATTGCTCTTACTTTTTAACCGTTGGGTAGAATTTAATGAAAATTTGGGTGGATTTAGTTCATAGTGCATTATTTACATCCTGCAAAGTCCTGTGATCAAAACTCGCGGAAATGGAGTCGAAAGAACAGCTCGTGCGTGATAAAATCTTGCGCATTCATCACGAGAACAAGGATCTCTCGCATCGTTCCATCGCTAAAACGTTGGGAATCGCGAATTCCACGGTGTCGCGAGTGATTAAGCGGTTCGAGGAACGGTTGACCACCGATCGGAAGCCCAGAAGTGAAGGAAAAAGTATTCCGTACAACACCAAAAATCACAACCGCGTAGTTGGGGCCTTCAACCGAAATCCGAACGCCTCCGTTAGGGATGTGGCTAAGAAGCTGCACCTAAGCCGAAGTTTTGTCCAGAAGGCCAAAACTAAGGCTGGGCTTCGAACGTTCAAGGCACAAAAGGCCCCTAATCGCGACGAGAAGCAGAACAAGTCCGCCAAAACCCGTGCCAGGAAGTTGTACCTCAACATGCTGACGAAAGTTGAATGCTGCATCATGGACGACGAAACATATGTGAAGGCTGACTTCAAACAGATCCCCGGCAACCTGTTTTTCACGGCCAAGGATAAGTTCAGCGTTCCGGAGCATGTCCGCACTCAGAAGATGTCCAAATTTGCGAAGAAATTCCTGGTTTGGCAAGCCATCTGCACGTGCGGGAAGCGGAGTGCACCTTTCGTGACCCAGGACACGATGAACGGACAGGTGTACATAAAAGAGTGCCTCCAGAAGCGGCTGCTTCCTCTCCTGAAGGCCCACAACGTCCCAACAATCTTCTGGCTGGATTTGGCCTCATGCCACTACTCCAAGGACGTGCTGAAGTGGTATGCGGACAATAAGGTCAATTTCGTGCCGAAAATGTTCAACCCTCCCAACACTCCGGAGCTCCGCCCCATCGAGAAGTACTGGGCGATTATGAAGCAGCACCTTCTTAAACGACCTAAGGTAGTGAAG